GCTCTATCTCTCTCTGTCCCAAAAATAAATAAACGTTGAAAAAAAAATTTTTTTTTTAAATAAAAGGACCCATCAAGTGGCCAATTCAATGTATGAAAATAGACCCACGCCATAGCAAATTATTGGGATAATTTAGAACACTGGGAACAGGGTGCCTGGGTGGCTCAGTTGGTTGAGCGTACAACTCTTGATTTCAGCTCAGGTCATGATCTCACAGTTCATGGGATCAAGCCCCACTTTGCTAGCACAGAGCCTACTTGGGATTCTCTCTCTCCCTATCTCTCTGCCCCTCCCTCGCTCATACTCTCTTTCTTTCAAAATCAATAAATAAACTTAAAAACAACAAATAAAAATTAAAAAAAAAAACAAAACATTGGGAACAAAGAGAAGATCTTAAAAACCTCCAGAAAGAAAAGGAAGATGGATACATACAAACAATCAGGAATCATAATGGCATCATACTTTTAAGTTTAACACTGGAAACTAAAAGACAATGGAACAATGCCTGAAATCCTGAGGAAAATTTATTTTCAACCTGGAATTCTATACCCATCAACTGTCTATGAGGGGAGGGGAGGATAACAGCATTTTAAACATGTGAAGCTTCAACAAATGCACCTCCTATGTAGACTGTTGCAGGAAGCTACTGAAGGAAAAGCACCACACACACAATAAAGGAGTGAATCAAGAAAGAAGAAGACATAGGACAAGGAAACAAGGGATCCAACTCAGGAAAGAGACAAAGGGAGTCCCTAGGATGAGAGTGAAGGGGGATCCCCGGAGGATAGTTGTGCAGCAGGTACAGATTGGGGCAGATCAGAAGGCTCCTGGGGCGCCTGGGCAGCTCAGGTCATGATCTCATGGTGCATGAATTCCATCCCCACTTGGGATTCTCTGTCTCCCTCTCTCTCTGCCCCTCCCCTACTTGCTCGTGCTCTCTCTTTCTCAAAAATAAATAGATAAGGGCGTCCTAGTGGCTCAGTAGGTTAAACATCCAACTTCAGCTCAGGTCATCATCTCACAGTTCATGGGTTTGAGCTTCAGATTCTGTCTCTCCCTCTCTCTCTGCTCCTCCTCCACTCACACGCTGTCTCTCTCTTTCAAAAATAAATAAACATTAAAAGTTTTTTTTAAATAATAAATGTTAGAAATATTATATATAAAAAAGAAGGCTCCTGAAGAGCTGTCTCTAAGAACATGGAACAGATGGAAGATGTGATATGTTTAAAAGCCTTGAGAGGAAAATTCAGACAATTGGGAGAGGGTTTGAGGCTGACTTACTGATGATTATATAGCAAACTAAGCAAAAGAGTAGTAGTAGTGTATGTAGCAGTAATAATATGATAACGTAATAATTACGTAAGATGATACATATCATTTATTATTATTCTAAGGCATAATTACAATAATATTATTATTCTAAGGAAACCATGAAGTAAGAAATGAAAAGTAGCCATAGTAAACTGTACAACTTAGCCGCGAATAGCATTTCCAAATCCTAATAAGGTAAATACTGAATAATTCATTTTATCACGTATGTTGGAATACAGAGAGAAAGGTGTCTGTATGGCAGAGGATCGGGGAGTAGGATGAAAAAGTTAAATCCTTAACCTTCTATCGTATGGGAAGGCAATAGAAAACACCTAAAACTTAAAAGTCAGTAAGTGGAATGTTATTTGGAGATTAGAATCTAAGTACCAAAATAAGCAGATAAAAAATGAATAATGGTTGTTTCTGGGAAGAAAGATTTAGGATTAGGATGGGGGACTATTACTTTCATGATAAATCTCACAGAACTCTTTGCGTCTTTAATCTATGTGCATCCATTACTTTGCCTAAAAGGAAAATTAAATAAATATGAAATCAGGAAGTCATGTGTGACGGGACTGGGGGGCTTCCAGGGAAGTATGCTAAAAGTGAAGCTGGAGAGACAGGCAGGGGATGTATTATGACAGCTTTTGAATGCCTGCTGCTAAAATATTTAGATTTTATTCTCTAACAGTTGTGCAAAGCCCAGAAAGTTTCTTGAGCAGGGGAGGGACAGATTCAGATTGGTATTTGCGGAAGATAACTTAGGGGATCTGAGGTAGGAGGGACCTAAAGATTACCTGGTAAGTTAGATTTACTCCCAGTACAGACACCCTAGACTACTAGTGTGTGGTGAAGAGAAGCCCTGCATCTGTAGCCAACAGGATTCTGACCCTTTGAACAACTGCTACCCACACCCTGAAGGGACTGTGGGGCCAGGTGAGCTCCCTCTTTATTCCCCAGCTCCTGCCTCCCTTTGGCTCAGTCTACTTCCTAATTAACACCAGACTCCCTATCAGGTTGTTCTTTGATTCTGGACTGGTTCAATAGTTAATGCCCTATTCTATGAAGTTCAAATCTCAGTGGGGTCGGATTTCGATACTAAACATTTACTGAGACCTAACTCTGTGTCATGCACCGTGTTGAATACTTAAATTTTTTTTTAACGTTTATTTTTGAAAGAGAAAGAGAGAGACAGAGTGTGAATGGGGGAGGGACAGAGAGAGAGGGAGACACAGAATCTGAAGCAGGCTCCAGGCTCTGAGCTGTCAGCACAGAGCCTGATGCGGGGCTTGAACTCATGAACTGTGTGATCATGAAGTCAGATGCTTAACGGACTGAGCCACCCAGGTGCCTCCAGAACTGAGATTTTAAACTGCAATCTGCGGCGCCTGGGTGGCTCAGTCTGTTGAGCGTCCGACTTCGGCTCAGGTCATGATCTCACGGTTCATGAGTTCGAGGCCCGCATCGGGCTCTGTGCTGACAGCTCCGAGCCTGGAGCCTGCTTCTGATTCTGTGTCTCCCTCTCTCTCTGCCCCTCCCCCGCTCACGCTCTGTCTCTCTGTCTCTCAATAATAAATAAACGTTAAAAAAAATTTTTAAAAACAACAACTGCAATCTGTCTGCTTCTAAAGCCCACACTCTAAATCAACCATACTTCTATTCCCATGCTTCTTAAAATTGAGGCATGGTTGGTTGGACCACAAAGTGGGGTCTCTAGAAACATTTGGGAAACCCATGGCTCTGAAGCTCAGACTGATTCCTTCTCCTACTCCCCCAGGCTTACCTGCGAGCCATCGATGTGAAGATCCTGCAGCAGCTGGTGACTTTGAATGAGGGCATCGAGGCTGTGCGCTGGCTGTTGGAGGAGCGGGGGACATTGACCAGCCACTGCAGCAGCCTCACCAGCAGCCAATATAGTCTGACAGGCGGGAGTCCAGGCCGCTCAAGGCGAGGCAGCTGGGACAGCCTGCCAGACACCAGCTCCACTGACCGGCTGGACAGTGTCTCCATCGGCAGTTTCCTAGACACGGTGGCCCCCAGCGAGATGGATGAACAGGGCCCCCCTGGGGCTCCCCGTCCTGAGATGGACTGGGCAAAGGTTATACCCAGTGGGAACAGGGCCAGGACTGAGGTGGACCTGACAGCCACCAGGCTAGGGAACTTGAGGGCTGTATGGAAGCCCCCAGGGGAGGGGCTCCAAGGTGGACCTCCTGAACCACTAGAGGATGAAAGTGTTAAGCTTGGCTTTGAGGCCCACTGGTATTGGGGGCAGTGCCAGGATGATGTGACCTTCTTGTAATAACTTTCCCGTCCTTTCATATTTCTATAACTCTTTCATCACTAGGTCCTGGTCTCCCTAGAAATTTATTCTCCCTTATTCTGGGTCTAGGAGGAGCCTGCATTGAAATCCAGTTACCGTGGAAACCTGGCCTTACCATCCTTCTGGCCCCTAAGGAGGCTCTGCTTTTATCCTTCAATTATTGGGACCCTAGAGCTATTTACATAGATACAATGACTCTAGAGGCTTGACCTGTAGCTTCTGGTGTGATAGTATCTCTTCCCCTTCCCCCTGCAACTACGTAAGGATTTGAGGGATTTAGGACCCATAGGAGATCACTGATGAAGAGATGGGGGTGTAATTACCTCACCCAACATCTAGGAGTCTTGGCCCCCCTCTTGGCCAAGATGGAGAAGTGTGGAGGGACATGGACATTCAGGGCCAACCTTCCATGGATTGGCCCTCCTAGAAGCCTCTGGGGTTGGTAGAACCATCCCTTCCTGTCTGGTGAGTGATATCATTTCCTGCCAGGATGGAATAGACTTTCCTCTGTACCAGTCTCTTAGTGGTGATAGGGCAGTATAGGGTTGTCTGAGCCCCTGCTGCTAAGTGAGACTACACCATTTATTCTCCATACCGTTACTTCTTGCTAGAGGGATCATATCACCCCTCCTGGTAGGAAAGCTTCTCACTGTCAGATGTTTGTGTTCCTTTTCAGAAAGGTTCTTACTTTTTAAATTGGGTGTTCTCATTTTGTTCTAGGGGGTCTCACTTCCTCTGTGACCACATCCCTATCTGATGCCAGTATTCCTACATCTGTGCTTTTAGGGAGGGAAATTCAGGGGCCTCTACCCACGGCTCTCAAAAGTTTGTTTGGCCTGCCCTGCCAGTCCCCTGTCTTACCCCTTCCCTGGGTTGCCCCCATTTTTGTATTCTGGCTCCAAATCTGTCTGCCAGGAGGTTTAGCCTTTGTGTCTCCACACCTTCTCAGCTTCCACTTCCACTTCTTCAGGGCCTCTGGCCTTTTATATGCAGATGAGTCCCCCATCTACCCCCCTCTCTCCCCATTGCTGATGGGAATCAGAGGGAGAAGAAGCTTGAAGAGCTCTGGGGGTGTATCATAATTTCCAAAGAGGGGAGGTATCTTCTCTGATCCTGTGATTTCCCTTCCCCCATCCTGCCCCGGACCTTCTACCATTTGGTCACAAGGATGCCTGCCAGAGGCTGAGACACAAGAAATCTCCTTGTCTGGGTTACAATGGGAGTGTGGGGGTGTGGCAGGGAAAGACAGAGGCTCTTTGGTCCTAAGCCCCATATCCTATGAGGGGCAGAGATAGAGGGGAAGGCTGCTTTCCTTCCTCCCTTAGAGCAAGCCCTAGACCCCTGGGACCTGAGGTGGGAGCAGGGAACTGGCTCTGAGCCTAGGTCCTAAGGCCCTAGTGAATTACAGCAAAGAAGGAATTCAAGGAAGCTGCCAACCTGGGGCCCAAGGAGAGGACAAGTGGGGGGGGGGGGTGCAGTTGTGAAAGAAGGGCTGTGGCTGATGTCAGAGAATGAATTCTTGGAGATTAACCCTTTGAACCCCAGCCAACTGCCTATATGTTGGTCTTTGTTTTTCCTGGGGCCTGAAACTAATCATTGGAAGGCAAAAAAGAGAGAAAAGGATGTCAGGTGATCCTTGCCTATGTGCTGTGCCTTCCACCGTGGAGGAGGAGCTTCCCCAAGTGCTATAATAACTCCTGCAATTTCTCTACCTTTTGTTCTATGCTGGAGAAGGGAAAGAAGACAAGTTAATCTCCACTTTCCCTAAATTTCTCAAGTTTTGTTCTGCAACTCCCACCCCAGTCCTTTTGGGGCAATGTGTTCATTCCATAGCTCCCCCCTAAGGACCCGCTCTTCTCGCATCCCCTCAAAGTGATCAAAATCTCTAAAGCATATTCTTAGCCTTTCCTCCTTTGCTACTTACCAGCCCTCTGCTTAACACCTCTTCTGGTCTTGGGGCTCCTGACTTCCCCTTAGGGTGGCAGTCCAAATGCCCTTCTCCATTTCCTACTCTGTTGCCATTTTGTAGCATGCCTCGGGTAAACTCTTTCTCACTTAGAAGCTTTGTGTTCTTTTTTGAAGCTTACTTGTTTGGTTAGGCTACAAACTTCTGAGCTGAAGAGGGTGTGCGCCCTCTTGTGGCCATTGTGTGCCATAGCCGGGGTAGCTGCCTAGAATCTCAAAGCTCAAGTATAGCCTTATAGAACACAGGACCTTCAGTGCACAGACAAGCTAGAGAGACAGGCCTAGAGAGGGTAGAGATTTGCCCAGTGTCACCCATTGTGGATCCAAGGCAAGACTCTAGAGAACCCAGATTTCTTGCCTGTCTGCCCACAGTGCCATCACTTGGCTAGACTGTTCCCCCATTCCATCCAGTTAACACCACCCAAAGGACAGAAAGCAATTTTTCCTTGTGTTAATATTTAGGTTCTTAATCCTATTCTAGAGAGGCAGCTCAGGGTTTAGAGAAAGTGCTATAGGCTCTGAAGAAAGAGAACCTTGGACCTCGACTAGGTAAAAGCTGCATGAATCTGGACTGCAGATATAAGAAAAATCATCCTGGACAAACCCTTTTCCTAGGGAGGGCCAGTAGGCCCAGACATTATGGAGGGAGAGCTCAGCATTTCAGACCTGGAGGTTAGAAGTAAGGTGGGGGTGGGGAGCTTTGAAATTAGGAAATCCGGATGGATCCTGTGGAGTTGGGGAGCTCCGCAGGTCTAGGGAGTACAGCAAAGTTGGATAGGTACAACTGGGTAAAGGCAGAGATGAGACTGCTCCTGGAAGCTGAAAAAACAATGCCCGGGAGGGTAAAGGGTGGTGCTGACAGGATGAGCCCATCGAGGAGTTATGAGACCTTGGGAGTGGGCAAGTGTAAGAGCCTGCATTTAGGATGGAGCAGTAAGGTTGAGTATTGGACTGATTGGAAGCTCGGTGGCAGCTTAGATGAGAAATGCTTGGAGCTTGTAGCAGACTGGCTCACTGTGTGTATGGGTTCCAGGCACTACTTGGTGTTCAGTGACACCTGTTGAATGAATGGAAGAACGAATGTGTGTAAACCCACAAGGAGATATGACTTGTTTTTTAAAAAGTAGCTAATTAGGTCATAGTAGGTAATATAAATATTATTCTATTTAATTCTTAGCAACCCTCTAAATAATGCATTATTAATCATGTATTGTTGCTTAGATATATGTTCATGGTGAGATAGGTAATAAATCAACTATAATAGGAACCTGGGTCAGTCTGGCTGCAGGGGCTTCCCAGAAGTCTTTGATTCCCCACTCCCCAATGTCACAGACCTTACTCCCCTGGGAGAACAGGTTATGCTGCCTAGCAGCAGGGCTAGTATGCTAGTTTCCTCCTGCTGCTATCATGAATTACCACAAACTTATTGGCTTAAAACGACACAAATTTATGGGAATGCAAGCTGGTGCAGCCACTCTGGAAAACAGTATGGAGGTTCCTCAAAAAACTAAAAATAGAACTACCCTGCAATCCAGCAATTGCACTACTAGGCATTTATCCACGGGATACAGGTGTGCTGTTTCGAAGGGACACATGCACCCCCATGTTTATAGCAGCACTATCAACAATAGCCAAAGTATGGAAAGAGCCCAAATGTCCATCGATGGATGAATGGATAAAGAAAATGTGGTATATATACACAACGGAGTATTACTCGGCAATCAAAGAGAATGAAATCTTGCCATTTGCAACCATGTGGATGGAACTGGAGGGTATTATGCTGAGTGAAATTAGTCAGAGTAAGACAAATATCATATGACTTCACTCATATGAGGACTTTAAGAGACAAAACAGATGAACACAAGGGAAGGGAAACAAAAATAATATAAAAACAGGGAGGGGGACAAAACAGAAGAGACTCATAAATATGGAGAACAAACAGAGGGTTACTGGAGGGGTTGTGGGAGGGGGATGGGCTAAATGGGTAAGGGGCATTAAGGAATCTACTCCTGAAATCATTGTTGCACTATATGCTAACTTGGATGTAAATTTTAAAAAATAAAAAATAAAATTTAAAAATAAATAATAAAAACTAACAAAAAACAAACAAAAAAAATGACACAAATTTAGCATCTTACAGTTCTGGAGGTCAGAAGTCTGAAATCAGTTTCACTGGGCTAAATTAAAGTCTGTATTCCTTCTGGAGACGCTAGGGGAGAATCCATTTCTTTGCCTTTTCTAGTTTCTAGAGGCTGCTTGCATTCCTTGGTTCATGGCCCCTTCCTCTATCTTCAAGGTAACAGGATAGCATCTTCTCTCCTCTGACCTCTTCTTCCATTCTTTCATCTTCTCTAATTCTGTCTTTTGAGGATTATATTGTGATTACATATGCTTGTGATTATTTTGGGCCCCTGGGATGATCTAGGATCATCTCCTCATGTCAAAAGCCTTAATTTAACCTCTTCAAAGTCCCTTTTGTCACAAAAGGTAAAATATTCACGGGTTTTGAGGATCAGAAAATGAACATCTTTGGAGTAAGAACCATTATTCAGCCTACCAAAGGCAGAGATGGAAGGTGGGCAGATGGATGCACCCAGGCCCAGAATGAGCCTGTATGCTTTGTCCAGCCTCCCTCAGCCTGGAGTGAAGGGTGGTGGGAAAGTGGTGGCCAAGGGGAAGGTGGCCAGGTCCAGGCCCCATGTCTGGAGAATGGCAAGTGCCTCTTGCATCATCACTACCAGGCAGAGCTGAGATTAAAGGGAGAAATTCTCAGTTTAGGGAATTTTCAGGCTTGACACTCTCCTAGTGAACACGGTGGAGGGTTCCAGCAAGCTCTGTCTTCAACACTGCCTCCTCTCCAGAACCATTCTGTGCAAGGCGGAAGGTAATTACCAGCGAACTAGGCTGGGCTCTCTTTAGAAAGGGTAGATTTGTTCTCTCCTTTTTAAATTAGTTTTTATTCCTTAATAAGTTAAACCATGCTCCTCATAGCGTGATGAACTCTCATCCTCAGTTGATATTAGGCCCCTTTATTGCTTTATTTTCTTCTTTTGATCCCTGATCCCTGTTCTCATTCCTCTTCCTGACCTAGGCATATACTCTGATGGGTTTAGTATGTGTTCGGATATGTTTGTATCTTTAAAAAAATAGATAATTGTGCGCTTATATGTTGTAATATATATATAAATGGTATTATTTTACAATAAGCTAACTTCCATAACACGTTGCCCCATATTCCAGTGATTTAATACAATAAACATTTCCTTTTCACTTACACAGGAGCACAGGTATTCCCACTTGGATGGCTCTCTTCCCCTGGCCATTTCAGGTTTGAAAT